CAATCAACAATTAAATTGCACCGCATATTTAGAAATAAAAAAGAAAAAAACAACGATATGATTAATTGCCGAGTATTTAGTAAGTAATTGCATACTAAATTTTTAAAAATTATTTCTAAATATTGAATACATATTCTTGGTACTTGTACTTTTTTTGTCTAATTTTTGGGTTTGTTTTCTGTACTGCTGGTATGAGAGTGTACGAGTGATGTTGCTGCTTTAATGAAAACTAGAAAAATAAATTATACAATATATAAAATGATGGCGAAAAGGGAATCAGGCATGGGGTTTGCTTTTCTAATTTAACAAACAATAATATATATAAATTTATATATGTATGTATATATAATATATATTTCTTTAATTATTATTTTTTAATTGTTAAAATTCTCATGCTTTTTGAAATAAATGATAAATTACCTTCATTTATTACGCTTTGATATAGAAGCAAAAAAAAAAAAATCTGGAACACATAAAATGCACAGAAAAAATTTTTACTGTGTAAAAAATTAATCAAAATTAGAGTTTTTACGATTTGCAAACGGCTATTAGTCTCTTATAACCATTATATGTTAAATGTGATAGGTTTCTTAAAGCGCACGTTTACATAGTGTGAAATTATAAAAAAAGATATTAGAGGTACGTTTACAAATAACATACTCAAATTTTAATTTGATATTTCAAATAGCTTTGGAGTTACAGCTGCATCAGTTTATCTTTAAGTGGAGGGTAAGATTTTCATGGTAAAAGAACCCTAGATTGTCAAAAACGTGGTGATTCCTCAATCCATATTTAAGAAATAAATTCGCAAAAATCAATTCAATAACCCTCTATAAAAATTTAAAAATCATATAACAGATTCACACAAAGGCAACCAAGTGACGAAACCATGTCTTAAGAATTTCCTAAGCATAAACATCAATTCTAACATTAGTTCACAAGGAAATGTGAAGTTGAGTGATGAGATCCTTAAAAACCTGGTTCTGCTAGAATTTCACGATAAGTTTCGTAAATGGCGAAATATTTGAACCCAAAACCGACTTACATAAATCTAAAGTCATGTTGTCGCCGTTAAACATTAAGTAAATATGGATAAATCACAATAAAGTAGAAACAGAACAGAAAAAAATTCTTCGGTTAAACCTCGCGCTGGGTACAGTAAGGACCTATATTATCGACGAAAATATTATAGATCACGAAATAAGGTCGACATGCGCTGAAGATCGCATCCTTACATGTGAATCATTATGCTGATTCTTAGTCAACTAATTCTACTTTTTATTCATTAACCGTGGCAATTCAAATTTAACTTGACAATGGAGCAGTGACGTCATGTGCTAAGAGTTTGTGTGGCATTTGAGATGTCTTGATTACGAGTTTGGGTTCAAAATTTTTCCAAAGTCCAGTTTGACCCCTACATCCCGTATTAGAAATGTACATTTTCGGATAAGCAAAAAAAAAAAATATATATATATAACATCACACTCGCAAAATGGCTGTAAACTATTATCAGTTTCTTTAACGAAAATATGCTTAAAATGCGGAAGATTATAAAGTTTCAATTCATGAAAGATGCAATATTATCAAAGTTATAACTGTTCCCCAAAGTGGAGCTTTGAAAAGTTTAGTGTTCACCGTCGAAAATTTCCTAGGCAAACATAAAACACAAAATTTTTAAGATATTGTAAAAAACATGCTGACAAACTTTCAGACTCTAGGTGCAAATATGAGGAGCAATCAATGTAGCCTATATCCGCAATCAGCTGGAAAACATTACGAATAATTTACGATATTATAATGATGAACAGAGAGAAGCGGTACCAACAGGACCCAAAAGTGATGGAAGAAAGGTAGCAAGGTTGTTGAGATCGTCACATGAAGGCACTTGGATCCATGTGTCCAAGTAGGGATCACATCGCTTTACCAGCACCTAGCAGTATATTGGACTTTATCAATATGCTGGGGCTAGGTGAGTCTTTGTGGTTTATTCCATGTTTATCAATCTAATCTAATCTAATCTAATCAAGATCCAAAAGTAATGGAAGAATGGTAGGAATGTTGCTGAGATCGTCACATGATGGCAGATCACTTCTGGTCAATAAAAAAAAATTTCCAACTGAAAAGTATAAAATAAATACTCTTCAAGGGCGATTTATTGAAATATAACATATGTGTTATATATTTGTCTCTCTGTTTCCTTCAATTCATCCTAACATATAATTCTAATTTTGTATCATGCTTTCTGATTTTTGTGATCTAAAAAATAAATTAAAGATTTAAAAAAAAAAAGAAAACTTACGAAATCATTGACGGTGTCATGAATCTCGATTATCGATCTTAAATCTAGGGCAACAAAACCACTGTAGACCAGTGTAATTATTACGTCACTTGTAAAAATAAGGGCTAACTGTTCCGTGTTTATATACGTACATATATATTGTGAGTCACAAAGTTAGTAGTCAAAAAACTAATTTTAAAATCAACTGGTCAACATTTATTGCGAAATTCTCTAAAGTTTGATGTGAACCCCACTTAAAATTTACTACAATTTTTGTTCTTAAATTTTTCTACAATTAAACATTTAATATTAATAAAATTCAAACAAGTCTAAGAGTAAATACAAGTAATATAACTTTAAATTTAAATAAATCATTTAGTAAATAAATCACAATTCAGAACATATACATATATATATTTGTATGTATGTATATGTCAAAATATTATTTTACTTTTGAAATTGTCTTTCATACTCCTATCCATACAATGTACGTGTATATATAATATATGCATAAGTATGTAAATTATGTAATGAATAACATCTTAATAATAAATAAATAGTAATAGGTGGATAAAATATTTTAGCCAATAGTTTAATTTGAGTATAACTAGAAATTTGATGTGGTGCTTGAGAACAAATAAGTGCAGAAACCCAAATTCAAGCTAAACACATATGATTTTGTTAACACCCAAAGGAGTTTGTGTACAAATATCTAATGAGAAAGCAAATATTTTTTTCTCTCTCTCTCTCTCTCGCTCTTTTTGTTGCTATTAACAACTATATGTGTTTTTGTTCTTATATGTGATGAGTACGGAGATCGTTCTCACTCTGCAAGTAAGAAAGAAAACAAACATTGAATAGAAAATGAATAAATTTAATTAAACAAAAACACTTTAAAGCGTGTTCAACGTTTTGGAACGTGTAAGTGAGGTTAGTTGAAGTCCAAAGAAAGTTATGTAGGTTAGTGACAGAGAGAAAAAAGTGCGATCACCGCACATAAAGAGAATATTAGTAATTAAAAAATTAATGGAAAAGATGATCAACTTCTACATTAAATTTAGTTTGCATTTTGTATTGTAATTATAATCCCCAAAATCAGTTTTTATGTAAATTATATTTTTGATAAATTATAATTATAAATTGTGAAGAGAAATTTACGGACACATATGTATATGTACAGTTGCGAGCATTGAAATAGTAGTTTCTATTGGCCAAGAGAGTTTTGCTTTAAATTTTGTTTCTTTTATGATATTCCCGTTGATCATTATTTTAGTTATGTATATTCTCTGAAGTATAACGGTCCTGTTATATACAACAATAAGTATGAATTACATACCGTTACGTTTTTAAAGCCAATTTTATTGGGATATCTGTTTTTATGAGCGAGCAATAGAATAGTAGTGAACGATGAGATGATTGCAAACAGATAACTTTTAATAAAAAAAATTTAATTTTCTCAAACAAAAAGTAAGTTTTCAGATCTTTTATTAATTATTCAATGCAAAAAGCACAAAAAAAATATGACTTTGCACTTTTTTTGGGCCGCGGGAAGCACTGCAGTGACGAAAAACCAGAATGTATTCAATCTGTCATAAACAACGATAAATCCTACAAGGGAGTGGAGAGAATTGTAGGGTGTTAAGCCACAACGACTCACAATGCAATTATTTATAAAAAAAAGACGAAAAAAGGGGCGCAATATGGATTCTTTCCGAGAATTTTACACCAATAGTTGTAAAATGTGCCAAGACTCGACCTAGAATGTCAGCTATGGAGATTCGGAATGAACTGAACCTGGCCTGCGGTGTTCATACAGTGAGAAGACTTCTACATGAACATAATTTATATGTCCGCAGTTCTCGATAAGTACCGTTATTAAAAAAAACCAGTAAGCAAGTTGTCTTAAATTTTCCAATGGACCGATTGAGAAATGAGACGTATCGAAAGTTATTCTATACGGCGGTAAAGGGTCCCGTCAATATCTAAGACGCTTCAGCACAAAAACTATGAAGCTTGGCGGTTTAAATTTCATGGTTTGGGGTGTTTTTCTGACAAGCCCAATTTTTTTGCGTAGTCCCAATTCACAAGATTACTAGCAGAATGGACCGACAAAAATTAGTGGATATAATGCAGTATATTATGATACCATTTGCTGAAGAGGACATCCCGCTGAAAACTATATTTCAGCAGAATTATGACCCGAAACATACCAGTAGGGTGTCAAAGAAGTGGTTTCGGGTCAATGGAATTGAGATCATGGATTGGCCAGCTCAATCCCCTGATCTCAATCCCATTGAAAACCTTTGGGCAGACGTTAAGAAAGCCGTATGGAATGACAAACCCAAAAACAACAATGAGTTGTGGACCGTAGTGCAGCAAGCATGGCAGACCATACCACTAAAAAGATGCCAGAGTTTCGTATTCTATGAAGAGGCGTTGTATTGCTGTTATTAAAAATCATGGCCATGCTACCAAGTACTAATATCTCGTATAGACGGAACTTCCAAAAATCCTTCAGTTAAAAAAAAATTTATTACTTTACTACTATTTAATGCTCCCATCAAATTTCATATCTAAACACAACATTGTGAATAAATATATCTTACACCATTCAAAAATATTTTTATTAATAAAGGTAGCCAGAGAAATATGATAAACTTTTCCATTTCAATTGATGTTAAAATGGTTTAGAATTTTGCATAACTCACAGGTATGTAAAACTCTAACACCCACTACTATTTCACTGCTCGCAGCTGTACGCCAAACTTTACATTTTCAGTAATATAAAAAAACCATCTTTGAATCGCCAATTCTCCGTACGCTTTGTGAAGATAAGAGCAAAACAAAGTTATACAGTCAAAACAAGAGAGCCTATGAATACTTCATTGAAATTACATAACTGTTTGTTAGAGACACAACACTATGTGATTAAGAGAGTTGCGTGATCGATTCGATGCTCCCTAAATTCAGGCCAATTAAAGATATTTTGATAAAAATAATACTTATAAAATAGTTGGATATCATCTAAATCAGATCGTCAGGGCAAGAAAAGGAAGAGGAAGACCTACACTCCGTTGGAAAGATCAGGTGAAGAAGAACTTGTCTACACTTGGAATCTCGAATTGGCGCTAAACGGCGAAAAGAAATAACGACTGTCACGCTGTTTCAACATTCGCAACGATTCCGCACACGAAATTTGAATAAAAATATAAAATTTGCGACAAATTCTTTTTCCCGATATTTTTATCCATTGCAAAAATATCAACTCACTACTGAGGTGTACCGACATAAGAAGCTTCTGTAAACAAGCTGGTTGGCAGAACGCGCTCATAATTGGCATATTAATAAAGGACAGTCTTGTCAAATTAGTAAATTACATTTTTTTGGGAAATATCATTTACCCGGGGAATTTAATTACAATTTCCATTTTACATACATTTGAATTACTTGAATCCATGTGTAAAAATTGATTTGACAGCTGTTCGATTTAATTTAGCGAACTTTAGCACAAGAGTATAGTTTATATGTGATACCTTTGACCATGTTAATGCCGAATGGGGTGTTAGACGGATAAAAAAAACGAAACGTTAGAAAACTTGATTTTTTTAGGCTTTTAAACCATAAATTAAATTAAATATAGAAATAACTGTGTATGCATGCACCGTACGTAAGCAATTCGTTTGAATTATTGTTGCGTGTAGTATTTATGTATGTGTGAGTGTGTATGTGATAAAATAAGTGAATTAGTGATTTTTAGTACAAGTACAAGGAATTTTTTTTAACTTTTAAGCATTTAGTTATAAGCCAAAACGTTGGTGTTTTTGTGACATTTTTGATTTTGATTCACATAAAGTTGTTAGTAACCAAACTAAGATCCGTTATTAATTGATTAGCTTCATTCAGAAAATTCGTATGCTGTGCATGACGAATTTTGCGATTTTTTTCGTTCGGATTTTGTGTTGCAGTAGTTACAAGTTAAATATATATTTTTGTTTTTGTTGGTATTATAAATAATCATACAATTAATAATTTAATAAATCATATATAAATATAATTAATATGTAGAATTGTCGTTATTTTAGTTTTCAATTTTGTTTTTGTTTTTTGATTTTTTTTTTGTTCATAACAAAGTTTCCATATGTTGTGGGTTATTCGACAGAAAAAATACAGAAATATAGCAGATGAAAAAAAAGAAAATTGTTTTTTTTAATCATAGTTGGGTTAATTTGTTTACGTTTTATTTTACATGCAAAATATACATAATATTTATTTAATAATAAATAACAACAATAACAGCAACAATATTAACATAATAAATTTAAGTAAGTACATAAGTTTTGTAGAGTGATAGTAAAGTCTGTTACGAGATTACTGCAAGTAAGCGTTTAACGCAAAGTAAAAACGTTGTTAGTGAAATAACAATTTTATTACCAAAAAAACAAAAAAAAAAA